GGCCAGTTTCTTTGTCCATCATTTATTAGTGTTTTCACGTTGTTTCTGTTCCAACGGAGAGAGTGATCGATCACACGTGATGGCATTTGTAACTCTGACGTAAAAGCCACAATACTAAAAGCTGAGCACATGGTGAGTGGCCCCATGTCCAGAAGAGGGGTGAAGTAATGGAAACATTGACAAGTACAAAGCATGAAGCTGAAGTGAACACCAAGCAGTTCTTGGTCTGCTGTTAAAAGATAAGAGCCCAACATGCAAACAGTTGAACTACCCTTTAGATTGCATTTCTCGAGTAATGATTTAATTATTTATTTGAAATATATTGCACCAGCAAATCACAACTACCTCACTGTACCCTGTGCTTGTCTGTTATGTGGTGCAGGGAAAGTAGATCTTAACCCTGTCATGTATGAATTATGACAACCACAATCAGGATTTTCAAGTATTTTTATTCATCTTTAGGCATGAAAAGATGAATAAAAATACTTAAGAAAGAAATCTTGATTGGGGTTGTCATAATTCATACATGACAGGGTTAAATTACAATAATTACAATGAAACACGTCATACATCTATAGTAACATTAAACAACCAGTGGGTGGAAGGGTATGGAGTGACACATCAGTGTCCAATGTAGTGATTTATGTGCAAGTATACCACCAACACTGACACAAATACAAGAAAAGAGCCTTTGAATAGCTGTCCACTGTAGTGACCGCTATGCGTGAAAGGACTGAACAATCTAATTTTTATTGTGAAAACTAGTTTTAAACTAACAATAAACAAAGTTTGTGTCCAAAATCACTTTCTATGTACTGTATAATGCTCTATTTGAGCTCCAACACGTGGAGTGTTACATTTATCCACCACACAGCTCCCAATCCATCAGTGAAAGGAAAAGGTGGACTTTATAATAACAAATAATCAGGGAACTGAGTGATTTTTTTTGCAGTGCTTTGTAAAAATAAGTACATCCCATAGTTCAATAGCCTGCAGTAACAGCTTTTGCAGCAATAACTTGAAATAATCATTTTCTGTAAAACTTCATTGGTCTCTTATGTTGTTGCAAGCCCACTATAGTTTTGCACTACTGATTTATTCCATAGAGATTTGAGGGCATTCTTTAGATTCCAGCATGGCATTTCAATCAGGTTGAGCTCTAGCTTTTGAATGGGCCATTCTGACAACTTTTGCTGCTGTGCTGCATTTTTAAGCATTTTTAAGGCATGCAGAGAAGTTCATGGTCAACTCAGTGATGCTACACAGATGCTGTGGCTGCAAAACGAGCCCAAACTGTCACCCCTCCACCACCGTGCATGCTAGTATGAGGAGTTTGTGCTGACATGTTGCGTTTTAATTAAGATAGTACGGTCAAACATTTCCACTTTGTTCTGTTATTTCTAAAGGACATTGTTCCAGGACAACTCTGCAAACTTGAGCAGTGCTGCCATGTTATTTTTATATAAAAGAGGCTTTTTCCTGGCAACTCTTCGAAATAAGCCATACTTTTTCAGCATTTTTCTAAATGTACAGTCATGTGTTTTAGCATTTAGCATGCTAACTGAGGCCTGTGGAGTCTGAGATGTAACTCTTGAATTTTTGCATTTTCTCTGACCTTGTTGGGACATCCAAACCTAGAAAGCCTGACAGATAATGATAATGATTGATCAAGTGCATCTGAATATCAACACCTGGCTGGATGTACTTAGATGTACAACACCAGGAAAGGTGTACTTAGTTTTTCACAACCCTGCATAAATCTTAATTGAGGAGTCAATTCAGACCTTAGCTTCTAAGTGTGTTTATGAACAGTAGAGTCACCATCACTAATTATTCAGGAAAACAGAAAAATTGACAATCAGAGAGCACATCCCTCTCCACTGCCAAGGACACATGCTTCTACTAACATTTGAAATGGATAGACCAACATTGCAACTGTATAGTAAAAATGATCCAGATCCACACATTTTCCTTGCCTTTTTCTTTTTTCATGCTACACCTTTCCTCAAAGTTTATCTAAATTCAGTCAGCCAGTGTTTTTGAATAATTTTGCCAGAAAAAAAAACAGCAGCAGAAACCTTGGACTACCTCAGTGCTCGACATGGGGGAGGAATAAAATCTCCATGTGGCCATGAAATAGCTTTAATCCGGTCATTAACATGTTTACCTTGGTGTTAGTTTTAACTTGTGTGAGGTGAACTTTTCCAACTGCATTTCCATGGATACTGGCTCTACTCTCTCATTACACCAACTGCTGCCAGAGCAGCTGAATGTAGCTACAGTACGCATGTGACACACAGCAAAGACAAAAATATCTCCCCTTAATTGTCATTTTACTTGCCAAAAATCTTTAATTATACTTCGTCTTGGGAGTTCATTTGATACCGCTGCTTGACAAAATGTAGGCTTACGAAACTGTAATTAATCATCACAAACTGTGAACATGTTCTAAAACGAGACACATGCACACGCTCACAAGAAGCAAAGTGGGCCTGAGCGCTTCATTCTCAACTGTCATTTTATAACAAGAGGCAGATTAAAGTGCGTTTATAAATACACAGAACCTCTGCGGACGTTTGATGAGCAGTGTGGGGATCTACAAGCAGATGGTCCGTGGCCAGGCACTGTAGGGGGAGAAAACAGTAGAGAGTGATTGTGAGCATTTAATGTTTGTCCTCAGTTTGTGTACTGTACATCCCTTTTGAGACCAAAGGCCCCCTCTCGTGGCTTGCTCAAGCATAATAATCCCAGAAGAAAGCAGACTGAGTATTCCCGAAAGGAATTAGCCAATGATGCCAGCAGCTCTCAGAGATTTGCTCACTTATAGGAGTTTGCTGCAAAAAAAATGGCTGTTTTACTGAATTTGAATTAAATTAGTTGAGTTCATGTTCTGTCTTACCTTAACTTTTTTTCTGTGGCCCGTTTTGTTTAGGCTAAGGTTGTTTGAATTCAATCCATCAAGTAATTTGATATAAAGAAATATTAGATACACCATTAGAGATACAGGGCTGGGCCCCTTTTTGTCTTGAGAACTGTCTTAATATGAATATCACAGCAGAAACTTATACTCAGACCAGGCAATGTTTGAAGTATTGTGTCCGTTTGCTATTCTTAGCTGACAGGAGTGGCACCCGGTGTGGTCTTATGCTGCTGTCAAGGTGTTGTGCATTTAGATTTATGCTCTTCTGCATAGCTTGGTTGTATTGAAAGGTTATCTGAGTTACTGTTGCCTTCCTATGAGCTCAAAGCAGTGCAGCCATTCTCCTCTGACCTCTGGCATCAACAAGACGTTTTTATCCATAGAATTGTTGCATTTTAATATATTTATTTGTTATGACACATTTTCTTCTGCTTTTCCAATTCAGGGTTGTTGGGGACCAAGAGAGTACCCTGCAGAGAACCCACACGGACACAGGGAGAACATGCAGACTCCACCCAGACTGGATTCAAACCCACAACCTTCTTGCTACAAAGCTGCTATGGCCTCCATCATTACAACTTTACAGACATTTAACACCCATATGAGCATCAGCGAGTAACACCACTAAGTGTTGCTAGATTAAAGTTTCTGTACTGTGATTACCCTGGTATCAAGCCAATATTAATAACACAAAGGACTTGTGGTGTTTATTTGCAGCCCCCATATTGTGTAGGTGCAGGAAAATGGCCTCAGACTCATCACTGAAATTTACTAAACTGTCTTATATACTTGATAATCTAAATGTGAGTGGACTGCATGTAAAAAAATACAAATCTGGAAACATTTTTACTCGATTGGCAGGCTTTAGGCAGAAAAATGAGAGGCCCTACAGTGTAAAACAGTGTGTTTGTTTTACTTTATAAAGACAGGAAATTGCAATCAACCAGCAGACCAACCCTTATGCGGAACTGCTGGTGTTCCCACTTGGTTAGATATTTCCCAGTGTTACCAGTCTTTTTGCCAAGCTAAGCTATTAAGCTGCTTGATGTAGTTTCAGAGGTTTCAGCACCTGGCTTAAAGAACAAATATCCCAAAAAACGAATATTTGAAAGTTTTTGATGTTTAGTGTTTGTGGTGAATACAAATGAATAAGACAAAGGTTGAGGACATACATCCACAATTTAATTTTTCCCTAATCTTACAAACAACATCAGTTTCTGTATTTACTTTCTTGCACCCAGTGAAAATTATTATTTAAGATACAGTATGATTTGGTCATGTGTATCATGTTATGCTGGTTGTACTCTCTGTCCAGTTATCTCTTTCCTTTGAGGCTTCAGGGTGAGGGCAACCATCTGTGCAGCAGCACATCATCAGCCATAAGACATCTGTTAAGAGGAGTTAGTGCTCAGTTTCATTTTCTAAAGGTGATGATACCTGATAGGACACAATTGCCATATTGGGGCCCTGTGAGAACCAATGAAAGTTTGCTTCCTGACAAAAGACCACAGTCTTTAACTCCTGCATGGTAGCACGAGATCATTTCCATTCTGATGTCAAGTTTTGCTGGAGGATTCTTTTGTGGATATAACCTCTGTAAACCATTGGATTACGTCACCAAGGTAAACAATTTTCTTATTTTCCATTAGAGATTTACAAGCCATTAATATATACTAGGGGGTTTCTTTTACACGCAGGTGAGCAGGTGTAAAGGTATCCAAGCAGTAGTGGTGTGTATTTCACTTTAGTTCAGCATTACATACATACCACTGTAAGTGCTATGACTTAATGAGATCAATTTATAGCAACAGAGCAGATGTTTTTTAAGAATCATGCTTCAGCTTATAAGCAATTCAGATATAAAAAGCTAGAGAATTAACCTTTAATCTCCTAAAGTCTGCTTAATTAATATAATAAGTATTCAATTGTTTTGATTGTGTTTATGCTAATGAACTCCCACCAAGAGCCTCCTGGGAAATAACAGCACTCCAGGTCCAATGAAACCAGTCAATCAAATGGAGTTAGAGCAGTAATGTGTCTGGAAATGTGCACCCTAAGCTTCGGAGGACAGGACAGGACCATGTCGCCCCCTGCTGAAGACTTTTACTGTTGCCAGTTCCAGCCCAACACCTTTGACCCCTCCCGCTGTAGCTCCTGCCTGCGGCCAGATCACATGCACGTCAGCGGCGCTCCTGCAGCAGATGCTGCACAACAGGATACTCTGCAGGAGCTGGTATGTAGCTACATCAGCTACTGTGCTTTCTGTGTAGCCACCTGGGTATGTACAAAGTCTTTAAATTAAAGATAAAGCATCGTTCAGTTGATCATATAACTGATCACAATGCCACTTACAGGTTTTTAAACCTAGAAGAGGGATTTGAGCATTTCCCAGGTCTTTTTGACCAGATCCCAAAAAAACAAATGTGGAGCAAGGGTCATGTTTGTGTTGCTAAAGGTACTAAAGAATGGAAACTAAAGGTTTTTATGGTCTCACAGAATACCCTTTATTACAGTGACCTAAAACTTGTAAGTCTTACTTTAGCTACTATCTGTCTGGTAATCCTCTGCTTCATTACGGATGCATACATATATTGCCAGAGGTTTCTTTTTGTCAAAAGGGAGTTTTTCTTTTCCACTGTTGCCAAGTACTTGCTTAAAGGGGGTCGTTTGGTTGTTGGGGTTTTCTCTGTGTTTTTCTAGAGTCTTTAATTTCATTTGATTTCATTTGATTTGGCACAATATAAATAAAATTGAATAAAATTTAAATTGCTTTGATTTGAACAGATGGTCAGGATCTCTGTGCTAAGCAGAGTCAAAGGTTGGAGGCAGATCGTTTGTTATGGTGAAGCAGCCAAAGAAAGAATTTTGATAAAGCTTTGAACAATTTATTCACAAATTTGAAAATGATGACGCTATGAATTCTTATATCCAAAAGGTAAAAGGTCAAGTTTGGATTAACACGGATGTAAAGAAGAACTTTCTGATTAGCACAGATATACCGCCTTACCCTCATGGTCTCTGACTGGAAGCCCTCATTGAGGTGATGAAAATTGTAGATCCATTCTTTTGTGATTTATTCAGTCCAACAGCTCAAAAACAATTCACAAGTGCAACATTATTTTGGTTTGTTTCCTAGGTAACCAGCCCATATTTATAATTCATACGATGGGTGCAAAACAGGGTCAACATTGCACAGTTCTATATATTTGTGTACCAAAGGTTCAGGTTGGCAGCAAAACTACCCAGATGCTCAGATTCTTTGCTTATACGACAGTTTTATAAACATTTAAAATAAAATAAAATGACAATTTACAAGAATGATGTCAGCCTGTAATACAATTACAAAGTGATAAAATTGTGGAGGTGGGAGAAGGATGGTGGCATTTGATTCTGTATCATTAATTAATGAAAGCTCATTACCATCCTTAGGGAATAGGTTGTAATCTGATACGCCCATATTACACATGCAGGCACATATCCTCGTGCAACACCGGCCCACTTAACGTATTATTCAGAGCAATGTCATTGTGAAACTTACGTTAGTCAACATCATGACTCTAATGTAGATTTTATTTTCAAGTGAAAACAGAGAAAAACAGATGCATTTTATTTAGTCCTGCATCCAAGAAGCATCAGGAGCTAAAATGAGAAAAAAAGTTTTGTGTTAATGAGAAGCTGACCTGAAGGAGAGATCAAGATAATGATAAGAAAGACAGTAAGTGGGCAGTTCTGGTGATGTAAAAGCACTGGAGCAATGAAATAATGATGAGCATGACCAGAGACTAGCTTGAGTTACGTCCTGTGCAGGCTAGATGTGTTGGCTTAGCTGGAACGACTGGAGAAGCAAAGACAGAAGTGGCTACACAGCTTTGACGGCAGATTTGCCCGAAGGTCAGTGATCAGTGACAGTAAGTGGAATTTGTGTTAATGCTCAGACTCATTAAGTTAGTTTGTTTTTTACTTTTGTATAAAAATTCAGTTTGTTTTGCTGTGACTTGTTTGATTTTTAAAGTGAGTAGACACATGCCATCACATAGTTGCTGTATGAAGCTTTTAGTGGGTCATAATTAGATATAAGCATTGGCTGGTTTATTGTAAATCCAAATAACTGAGAAACCTGCACTTTTAGGAGGTTAAATATTTTTTAAGAATTGCAGAATAAGTCAATTTAGACAAGGCTGCAGTCGCTATGCCAAACTGACAATTTTGGTTCCCATAAATTTGTTGAATTCTGTCATTTTTTGGTTTTAAATTGGTTGAATTATCCCAGTTAGGACTGCTAAACATGTTATTACTGAACTGTTTAAAAAAAAAAAAAAAAAAGCAGACATTGTTTCGGCACTTTTACTTTGAGTTTAAATCGTTTTCAAAAATAGAGACAAAACATTCTGATTGACAGCATTTTTCTTTGTTTAAATATCTAATTGTCACTATTAATCCAAATGCTTAAGATATGTTTCTGCTCCCCACAAACCAGGATACAGATGATGATCATGACGACACATGTGCCCTGTCTGAGGTGACCACAAGTGCCAGTAGTGATGATGTCAGAGGCGGTTGGACCTACGAGTGGAGTCTAGAGCACAGTCGGAGTCCTGAGTGGGAACTTAATATCTGTGATACTGACATACAATCCAGGTGAGTGTATCCAGTGTCCCGTTTTTAAGAAACCACTTTTTACCAAGAACCTGCCTGTACTATATACACTGACCAGCCAGCTCAATAACATCTATTAGCTCAATCATGGAGTTGTGATCATAAATATACGTACACTCATCATGGGTGTGAATGTCATGGTAATTCTGGGGTTTTAATAAGTAAGTAAGTAAGTAAGTAAACTTTATTTATATAGCACCTTTCACAGACATATGTCACAAAGTGCTTTACAAGGTAAAAACATA